TGACAAACAGGCGAGCCACGAGACTGTCACTGCCCACTGGCCCGCACTTACCTACGGAGGTCAGGGTTTATTTTTAAGGTTTTTGGTGTAGAGTGTGTTCCCTCCCTAGAGAAAGACAGAGACAGAGAAAGTGAGAAGTCACCCCTCGGGAGGAGTGGTCATGCCCTAACTCCTTCCCCTCTTGGAATTTTGGGCATGCGTGCACATGTGCCTGGGATGATTTTCAAACCACCAGGTCCAGGACTCAAACTGTGGTTACCATGTGGGGATCCAGGGCTCTAACCACCACACCACCTGCTGGCCCCACAGGTTAATGTTTAAAGTGCCGTCATTCAGTCTCACCGTTTAGGAAGACAGCTTCTCAAACCCTTGTGAGGTTACAGTACGGATTCGGTATCTATTTCCAGCTAAAGGGTGCCTTGTTTTCAGCCTGGCCTCTTACCTCCCTGTGCTTTGTCAGTAGTGAAGGAGACAGTTTAGTCATTTGCTATCAGACTTCAGATTAGTTTTATTTTACTCCTCGTGCCTAATTAAGTTAATAATTACCAAGTAAATATAGATCTTGCATAGACTGAATCTAAAAAAAAATTTTTTTTTGAGAGATTTTCACTGTAGGGCGCGTGCGCTCGCCAGACAGACAGAGAGAGAGACATAGAGACAGAAAGCGAGAAATCACCCCCCAGGGGGGATGGTCACGCCGCAATCCCTTCTCCCCCATTCTCCTCTCGGGATCTTGGGCACGCACGCACACGCGCCCGGCGTGAGTTTTAAGCCACTGGGTCCGGGACACAAACCACGGTCGACTACGTGGGAGTTCAGCGACATAGCCATTACACTAACTGCTGGTTCCCTGAATCTAAAAAATTTTTAAAAATTTAAAAAATTATCTTTTTTTTAAGAGCTTTTTGCCTTAGGGCACATGTAGTTGCTGGAGAGAGAGACACAGAGACACAGAGACAGTGATAGGGAATGACCACACCACAATCCAGTCCCCTCCCGGGATCATGGACACGCATGCACACATACACACCAGCGTGATTTCCAGGCCCCCGGGTCAGAGACTAGAGCTGCAAGAGGCAGAGCCCATGGGACGGGGAGGGGACAGGGGACCAGGAGGAGGAGTTGGGGGGGGTGTGTCGATGTGACGCAGGCCCTGGATTTTACAGATGATGGAACTGGGGGTTCAGCCAGTGGACACAGGCCCACAGAGCAACTACGTCCACGTGCTGACAGGCCCACAGAGCAACCATATCCACGTGCTGACAGGCCCACAGAGCAAACATGTCCACGTGCTGACACAAGCCCACAGAGCAACCACGTCTACATGCTGACAGGCCCACAGAGCAACCACGTCCACGTGCTGACAGGCCCACAGAGCAAACATGTCCACGTGCTGACACAAGCCCACAGAGCAACCACGTCTACATGCTGACAGGCCCACAGAGCAACCACGTCCACGTGCTGATGCAAGCCCACAGAGCAACCACGTCCATGTGTTGACAGACCCACAGAGCAACCACATGCACCACGTCCACGTGCTGACAGGCACATGCTGACACGTGCTGACACAGGCCCACAGAACAACCATATCCACGTGCTGACACAGGCCCACAGAGCAACCACATGCACGTGCTGACAGGCCCACAGAGCGACCACGTCCACGTGCTGACACAGGCCCACAGAACAACCATATCCACGTGCTGACACAGGCCCACAGAGCAACCATATCCACGTGCTGAGTTACAAGTGGCTCCCTTGATTGGTTTATGAAATAGGGAGTAGGGGTCGGGGCATGGTCGTTGGCGTGCTACATGGCTGTTCGTGGTCTGAGTCCTGGACCTGGTGGTTTGCTTTTCCACTTTCCCTCTCATTTTCCTTCTCTGGTGAACACGCGTGGCCTGTAGCAAATTAATAATAATAAAAATGATAAATAAAATTAAATAATTCTTTTAAAAAACAATAAAGAAGGAGTATATTCAGACAATAGTTTTGCTCCTGGCATGAAACGACCAAAGCTACAATGCTGCGGGATAGTTTTGCAGAAGCAAGCTTTGGGTGCATGGACGGCGTCGTAGCAGCGGCTGGGCACGTCCCTCATGGGCACTGTGCATCCTGCGTGAGTGGCATGGACGCGGATGTGCAGCAGCCGGTGGGCAGTGTCTATTGGGAACAGGTTAATCAGCCAGCAGGACAGAGGAAGCTGAAATGCCAGGTCTGTCACGGTCACACCTGTGTTACAGTACGTGACGAAAGCACACAGGTGTATTCAGAATACCTGACCCTTACTTCAGTTATAGTAGCCCTCTGGGTATCTGGACCCTTCTGCCAACGGTGGGATAAGAGGTAGGCAGCTTCCCCCAGCCCCGGGGAAGTGGGGAGTGCACTGGTCCTCGTCATGCTTCATGGCAGAGTAAGTAGGAGACCTTCGGGGAGGCTTGTTCCCCTAATATGTTTGTGCCCAAGGAAACGAGAAAAATTCATTCCTGGTTGGATTTGAAATACCTTTATCTTTCATTAAGCTATAGCAATTTTTAAAAATGTAGTTTTCCTGTGGCTAGCAGATGGCATGATGGTTATGTTGCTGGACTCCCACATGGCCAACCATGGTTCGAGTCCTGGACCTGGTGGCTTGAAATTCACACCAGGCACATGTGTGTGCGTGCCCAAGATCCCAGGGGGAAAATGGTGGAAAAGGGGTAAGGGTGGGGTCATCCGCCCCGTGGGGTAATCTTCCGCTTTCCCTCTCACTGTCTCTGTCTTGTTCTCTCCCTGGTGAGCACATGTATCGTATGGCAGAAACCTCTAAAAACTAATTGTACTTCCCCAGGGACCACGTATCTACTTGCAAACTAAAAGAATATAGACATTTATGTGAAGAATAAAGTGAAAATTCGTCCAAGAAAATGGAAGATTCAGAGGGAGATACGCAGTGTTTTATCTTTAAGATGAAATACTTGTTTTATTTTTACTTTTGGAACTCTGCATTATGTATAACTCAGTCCTGAAACGCTCAGTGTAAGAACTTAGACGGTACCTCACGTGTGGATGCTGATCACAGTGGACGGTGTCGTGTCACTGAGTCCTTGCCCCCAGCCGCCATGTCTACGGGCAGTGCTCTGTGGGCATTGCCACTCCGGGGCCTCCGTGTGGGGAGGGGTGGGAGGATGGCCAGGTCCCCTCTAGGCGCAGTCCCCGTCAGGGCGGGTGGCAGTTCATCCTGATAAAGGCGGCCACCCGGGCAGGCATTGTACTAGGGTGCTCCAGGGCCTTAAAACGGCCGCCCTTGTGGTGGTTACCTCCGGGGACAGTGCTGGGAGGGAGTGGGGGGGAGACTGAGTTTCTCTGTGTACCACACTGGTTAACGTTCAGCTTTTCTTTTCTCTATTTAAAAATTTTGGCAAAGGCTGGTGGGCTCATGGAAAAAGGAGAGAGGGAGAGAAAGTGAGAAATCACGCTCCCCCCCACACACCCCTGGGATGACCGCACCACGGTCTCTTCTCCATTCTCCTCCTTACGCGCCCACATGCCTGGTGTGGTTTTCAAGCCACTGGGTCTGGGACTTGAAATCCACTCGGCCGTGTGGGATGCAGCCGCCCTAACCACCAGGCCACGAGCGGCCCACTTTGAGCTTTACCCTGTGCGTGTTGTATGTGTCAGGAAGAGCAGTGAAAGAAGAAAGAAATTCCTCTCTAAGCACCTCCGTCTCCTCCCTGCCCCAGTTTCTGGTTTACTCCGGCCCCCTTTCCCTCACTCTCTCTGTCTGCAGGTGGATTTTTTTCCTTTTCTTAACTGCCAGAGAGAGAGAGCACAAGGGGAGAAGGCCCCGAGTGGGAGTGGCCATGCTCAGGCCTTTTCCCTCCACGCCACAGGCCGTCGGGCTGGGGCCACGTGCGCCCACTGCTCCCGGGTGTTTCTCAAGACGGGGCCAGGACTCGTCTGTGGTCAGCCACGTGGGCTCCAGCTTCTGTGCGTGACGCTTAGCCGCTGTCTCCAGTCTCTTTTGCTATTTAGAAAAACATTTGCTGAGTTCGTTGCCTTTCCCCTCATCTCTAACTCTCTAGTCCCTGCCATTTTCATAAGTCACCAAGGGTTTCTTTTTTTTTTTTAATGAATTATTAATTTGTGGGCCAGCAGTTGCCATGGTAGTTAAGTCACTGGACATTTCCACGTGGGTGACCATGGTTCAAGTCCTGGACCTGGTGGCTTGCTTTCTCACTTTCCTTCCCTCTCTGTGTTTTTTGTCTGGTCACATTAAAATAAATGACTCAGTGAATAAATAAGATTAAATAATTAACTCTTAAAAAAGAGAAAAGAATCATTAATTTAATTTATTATTATTATTTTTTTTTAATTTGCTGTAGAGCACCCATGTTCACCAGAGAGAGACAGAGAGGGAAAGTGAGAAAACAAGCCGCCAGGTCCACGACTCAAATTGTGGTCGGCCATTTGGTCCAACACCCCAAGCAACACTCCCCCTGCTGGCCCAGAGTCACCAAGGATTTCTGACAGGGAGATGTCACAACCTCCTTTCAAGCCCAGTTTGACCTTTCTGGGTCGCCTGGGACTTGCACTCTGTCTCCCAGCCCCTCTGCACTCTGGTCTCCACCGACCTTGCTGTCTCCACCCTCACAGATGTCCCTGCAGTCTGCGGTCTCCTCGAGCCGTCTCGCTCACTCCGCTCTGGTGGGACCCACTGTCATGATGTGGGCCTGCTCCATGGCCTGGTGCTTAAGCAGCTGGATCCCATGTGGCCGGCCCCACAGTTAGAGTCCCAGACTGGGTGATTTTATAGTAAGATTTAAACAGAGTTTATATTTTGTAATTTTAATTAATGGAAGGTGATTTTAATTTATTTCTCTGAAACTAGTTACCAACAGATGACAACAATTTGTTATATGTATTAACAATAACCTCTGCCTTCTTGAGTTTTTGTTATTTATAGGAGGCTGTCATCTGAAGAATGCTGTTAGTAATTCATACTGTCTCTTTCTTTCTCTCAGTGCAATGAGACTTCCTTCTTTTTTGAAGCTCGAAATAGAAGTGCTTGCAAACACCTGTGGAAGTGCAGTGTAGAACATCACACGTTTTTTAGGTATGGCAACACCAAAATTTTCTTCATTGTCTGAATAAATAAGAACAGCATTTGGTTTTTTACTTCAAGTCTGTTTCATATGATCTAAGTATGAGGGGGTCTTTAAGAAACTCATGGAAAATGAGTGTTATAATAAATGTATGGCAAGGCCAGCAGGAGGCATGGTGGTTAACTTGCCAAACTCTCACATGGTCAGCTGCGGTGCAAGTCCTGCACCCTGCACCTTGAAACTCATGCTGTGTGTGTGCGTGTGTGTGTGTGCGTGCGCGCGCGCGCCCAAAGTCCCAGAGGAGAATGGAGGAGGAGGGATTGGGGCATGGTCATTCCCCCTTGGCGATGATTTCTTCCTTTCTGTCTCTCTGTCGAGTGCACACCCCTGTAGCAAAAATCTTGAAAAAACAAAAAACCTATGCCTGGGTTTTCAATTCCATGCATTTTCTCCACAAACTTTTGAAGTACTCTTATATTTCTCTTACTGCTCGCTTTTGGTTTTTGTGTGGGATTTTGTTTTCCATCCGTTCACTTTAAGTCTGTGAGTTTCTTATAGGCAGTGCAGAGTTGAGTTGTTTTTTTATTTTTTAAGCCCTTTCAGCCTTTAGTCTATTTATATTCAGGGCTATTATAGGTAGGTAAAAACTGACTGCTGTTATTTTGTTAGTTGTTCTCTGTATTCTTTGTTTCTTTCTCCCTCTCTTCTTGTGCCTCTTTATGGTTTGGTGATTTTTTTGTAGTGGTAAAGTTTGATTCTTTCTTTCCTTTTTAGAGAGATTTTTGCTTTAGGGCACATGAACTAGCTGGGGAGAGAGAGACAGGGAGACTGAAAGTGAGAAATCACCCTGCCCCCAGGGGGAATGGCCACACCACAGTTACTTCTCTTCCATTCTCCTTTTGGGATCTTGGGCATGCACGCATAAGCATCTGGCGTGAGTTTGAAGCCACCAGGTCTGGGACGTGAACTGCAGTGGGCCATGTAGGAGTACAGTGACGTAGCCATTATGCCATCCGGTGGTCCTGTGATAAAGTTTGATTCTTTCCTTTTTCATTTGTATATATAGTCTACCAGTGAACTTTGTATTTTTGTTTGTTTTCGTGTTGGTGGTTATTGCTCTTTTGCTTCCAGATGTATGACTTGAAGCATTTCTTTTAAGGCTTGTCCCCTGGTGTAAATTTCCTCAGTTTTTGCTTATCTAGGAAGTGTTGTATTTCTCCTTTAGTTGTGAAAGAACTTTGGAAATACCCCTTTCTTTCCTGGCCTGCATTGTTTCTGATGAGAGTGCTGAGAAACCTGCTGTTAGTCTGATGGGAATTCCCTTATATGTGACGTGTTGCTTTAAATTTTTTGGAGAGGTTTTTTGTTTGTTTTTGTTTTTGCTATAGGGCACGTACACTCGCCAGACAGACAGAGAGAGACAGAGAGACAGAAAGCAAGAAATCACCCCCCAGGGGGGATGGCCACTCCGCAATCCCTTCTCCTCCATTCTCCTCTTGGGATCTTGGGCATGCATGTCATGCACCTGGCGTGAGTTTTAAGCCACTGGGTCTGGGACTCAAACCACAGTCAACTACATGAGAGTCCAGCAACATAGCCATTATGCTAACTGCTGGTCTCAATTTTTTAAAGAATTATTAAATTTGGAGACCAGCAGGTGGCGTGGTGGTTAAGACGCTGGACACTCCCACATGGCCAACCACGGTTTGAGTCCTGGACCTGGTGGCTTGCTTTGTCATATTCTCTTTCTCTCTAAGTGTCTCTCTCTGGTCAAATTAAAATAAATGAATGAATAAATATAAATAAACAATTATTTTTAAAAAAAGAATTATTAAATTAAAGTAATTTTCATTTGACCATAGACGGAGAGAGAAAGAGAGAGGGAGAGAGAGAAGCAGACCACCAGCTCTGGTACTCAATCCGCAGTTGGCCATGTGGGAGTCCAGCACCCCCAACCACCACGCATTTACCAGCTCCTGCTGCTTTGAAAACTCTTTGTCTTCGACTTGACAGTTTAATTATAATATATCTCAGTAATAATCTGTTTGGGTGGGATCTGGGGATTTTTGAGCTTGTTATATCTGGGTGGGCCATATCTTTTCCACTTGGAACATTTCAGTGAGTTCATTATACAAACTTTGTTTATTTTTTTTCACTTAACTGAACATGCTCAAGATTCAGGGTCAGAGATTCTTTAATCTTCCATTGAAGGTTTCTACTATATTTTTATTTCATTTATTGAGTTCTTCAGTTTGAGGATTTCTGTATGTTTTTTTGTTTTTTATGATTTCTATATCTTTGTTGAATTCCTCATTAGGGTCACAGATTTTTTTCTCCCTGATTTTGTTGAATTATTGATATATATTTTCTTATGTCTCATTAAGTTTCCTTGGGATCATCATTTTGATTCCTTTTTGGGCATTTCAAAAATTTTCCTATCCTGAGAACCAGCAGTTAGCATAATGGCTATGTTGCTGGACTCCCACGTAGTCGACTGTGGTTCGCGTCCCAGACCCGGTGGCTTAAAACTCACGCCGGGCGCGTGTGCGTGCGTGCCCAACATCCCGAGAGGAGAATGGAGGAGAAGGGATTGCGGCGTGACCATCCCCCCTGGGGGGTGATTTCTCGCTTTCTGTCTCTGTCTCTCTCTGTCTGTCTGGTGAGCGCACGTGCCCTATAGCAAAAAACCTCTCAAAAAAAAAAAATTTCCCTATCCTTAGGATCTATTACAGGGTGATTTCGTGATCCTTTGGAGGGGTCACATTTCCTTGCCTTTTCTTGTCTGTGTGTCCCCGTGTTGCACCTGCAAGTGGGTGGACAGGTGCCGCCTCACGTTCTGTGGAGGAGCTTGCTTAGTGAAGGGCTTTCTCTGAAGATGTGTCCTGTGGTGCGGTTGGCAGTGAGTTGAGTGCTGGCTCTGAGTGGGCACAGTAGTGTCCACTCTGATTTCTTCAGCTCTCGTCCAGGTTGGTGGTGTCTGTGAGTGCTGTGGCGTTCGAGACCGCAGGTGTCTTTGGTGGCAGTGTGTGGCCTGCTGGGGGGAGATTACTAAGTATGTTGGTTAGGCCTCAGAGGTAGTAGAAGCAGGGGATGATGGCCCACAGTCCCTGGGGGCTCCTGTGAGAGTGGACCTCGGTGTTGGCGTTCAGGTGGGTTCTTGGGACAGTGGGGACTGGAGGACTGGCAGTGCCTGGGAACCCACGTCACTTCTCCCAGTCCTGGTGCCTCCTGCTGCACCGGCCCACCTGCGTCCTAAACAGACTGCGCTGCGTGGGTCCAGGTGCGGGAGTCACAGCCTGATCCTCAGTCTAGCTGTCGGGGTTGCTACATCCATCTCACGTGGGCATGATGGGATGTCAGTGTGGTGTCGGGTGTGGACACATGAGGTCGCTGGGCCTCCAGGGCAGGCTTTCCTGTACAGTGACTTTTTTTCTCAAAATGAGAATATTGAAACAGCTTGGTCCCCAGGGTGGGATCACTTTGTGTGAGTTCCTTCCCTGGAGGAATTCCTGTGCTGAGCTTGGAGCCTCTGAGACCTGCCTGGTCCCGCCAGCCAGGAGTGCCCCAGTCCGGGCAGAAGTGGGGGCTGTTGCTTCCCTTCTCCCAGCCGTGGGCAGTTCCTCCTGGCCGGTCTTGGCCGGTGGGTTTCCTGCTTTCTCTCCACTGTTGTCTCTAGTCTCTGGCCACAGGAGGGTTCCGCCATTTCCTCGGTGGAGTCCTGTGTTCTCTCTTTAGACGGCCCACCCCGAGGGCGTTTGTTTGGTGTTTGACTCCTTCACGGAGGAGACGCACGCTGAGTGCTTTGGGTCAGCCACCCTGGTGGTTCTGGGGGCTGGAGGTCCAGGGTCAGCTGACTGTCTGGTGAGGACTTCATGCTGCATCATGACATGGTGACAGCCTTACATGTGGGAGCACGGGTGGGAGCGGCAAAGGGGTGTGTGAAGGGGCAGCGTGTGTTTCTGTGGCAAGAGTTCTGTCTGCCTACCAGGAAACAGAAAAAATACATCGTAACTTTTCTGACAACCCAAGAGAACTTTAGAAGTGCTTACTTTTTTTTTTTTTCTGAGAGGGTTTTGCTATAGGGTGCGTGCTGCTCACCAGAAAGACAGAAAGAGACAGACAGAAAGCGAGAAATCACCCCCCAGGGGGGATGGTCACGCCGCAATCCCTTCTCCATTCTCCTCTCGGGATCTTGGGCACGCATGCACACGCGCCTGGCGTGAGTTTAAGCCACCAGGTCCAGGACTTGAACTGCGGTTGACTACATGGGAGTCCAGCAACATAGCCATTATGTCAACTGCTGGTCCCAAAGTGCTTCCCTTTTATTAATGGTTTTTGGCTCCTAATTCTCTGGACTGTATTAATGCACGCACACACATATGTACATGCGCATGTGCGTTTATGCACGTGTACACACTACTCATGGTATACCTTCTTTGCTATACTCTTAGCGGATCAGGTAGTTTGTTTTTCGGTTTGTTTGGTGCATACAGCTTTGGCTGGCCCATGTGCTGGTGGGCATTCTGTGCTCTGCTCTGGGTGCCAAGTGTGGAGTGCCCGTCGGCACCTGTGTGGGGTGTGGTAAGGCAGCTGGAGGTACAAGCAGCCAGGAAGACCACGGCTGCTGATGTGGTGTTAAGTATTTAAGACCAAAGGGGCCGGGAGGGAGTCACCTAGGAAGCCGTAACGAGAGACAGGAAGCCTCAGACTGAGCTCAGGAAGGAGCAGGCTGGGAGCGGACGCCAGGGGAGACCGGCCTGTGCTGTGTCCTGGGAAGCGGAGTGTCTTTACGAACAGAGCCCTGGCGGCTGCTCGGAGCTCCTGGGGGTCAAATCCAGCGGGGATGGGAGTTCGCCATTGCACTGTAGGGATGCTTCTTTCTTTGTTTCAAGTCTTCATGTTGTAGAGAGAAAACAAAACTTGAGCAGTTTTGTTAAGGTTTACCTGTTTGGTTATTTTTCCACCTTAAATAAAATTGGGTTCTTTCCCTCATTCCTATTGGATTTGCATGGAGCAGTTTCCCTAAGTAGCATGCTGTCCGAGAAGCGTGTTCTTATAAAGCGACCGAGGTCCTCTACAGCCTGTGTTAAGGGAGGGGACCGCCCCAAAGCCTAAGACCGCGTCCAGTTCAGGGGCCTGGGCAGAGAAGCTCCTCGTGCTGGGGTGTCTGTGGAAAGTATGGTGGGATGGGAAGTACAGCTATGCAGTGACTTCTAAGAGTGAACCCTACTTCTGGTGTGGTGACCTGCCGTGAGGACCCTGGTGAGTAGGCCAGCCCAGTGGCCAAACGGCCAGGGTGACTTCCACCGGGAGAGAAGGTCGATTCCCAGCCAGAGCTTCCCAGGTGGCGATGTGCTCAGTCTTCAGGAAGGGTGCGAGCGTCTGCCATGATACAGGTAGAAAACGCCAGGGCTGGGCATGTTTCCGAGGTTAGTTTAAGGTAACTGAGCACCATTTCTCACCAGTATGTAGAGTCAATGGGACATTTGACCGTTCAGCAGCGTGGTACACTGATGTTCTCTTTATAACTGTGTTCAAATGTTGTGTTAGTGTCTGTGTTTATGAGTCTTCATCTAATTTTCTTTTAAAAATTTATTAGAATGCCAGAAAATGAGTCAAATTCATTGTCAAGAAAACTCAGCAAGTTTGGATCCATGAGTTACAAGCACCGGTACAGGTAAATGGCATGTTTTCACGGATGCTATGTGTGTGTGTGTGTAACTATTTAATTCAGATGACCACTTACATGTGTAATGAAGTTTGTAACTATTTCACAATGCCAGTGTGTTTTTAAGCATAACAATTTATTAGGACTGTCTCTCCTGGGACCAGCAGATGGCATTGTAATTGTTACATCGCTGCTCCCTGCAGTCGACCAAGGTTTGAGTCCCAGACTTGGTGGCTTAAAACTCATGCCAGGCGTGTGTGCCCAGAGTCACGAGAGGAGACTGGAGGAGGGATTGCCGCGTAGTCATGCTCCCAGAAGATGGTTTATTGCTTTCTCTCTTTTCCTCTCCCTCTCCATCTCTCTCTCTCTAGCAAACACATGCACCCTGTAGTAAAATTGTTAGCAAAGAAGTTCATTTTGACGCCATCAACACTTATCTCTAGTTCTGTTCCTTGATTGGGAAGACGTAGATATTCTGAACAGTAGCAGATCATAAGCCCTGAGGGTCCAGCCGATTTCGTGCTGTCGCACTGCACACTCTGTGCTGTGCGCCGAGCCCGCCTCTCCGCAGCGAAGCCCGCCTGTCGGACGCTCGCAGCCATACCTCAGTGTCGAACGGTGGCCAAGCCCCACGCGCTCTGCTACGTGTTTTCAGTTTACTGCTTAATTGAATCACAGTCTTTTGTAATATTATCCCCACTAACAGAGGCCACGTCCTGTCTCGAGGAAGACAGCAGCGTGGAAGCTGTGGGCTCCATACCGTGGTGGGCCAACTCACAGCCCCATACTTGACCTTAGGCAGACGGTTAGCTCACCATGGGAGACGCTTGACTCGGGCCTGACGGGGCCATGCAGACAACACAAGCTGGTGAAGAGGCTGCCTCCCATGTCTCAAGGCAAGGCCTGGGCCGGGAAGAAACTGCGAGACAAGGCCGCGGTTTACTAACCCTCCTTGTGTTGTTTACTGGCCTGTATTCAATTTCTCTGAGTTTTACTGTTATTACTGTACCCTGCAAGGGTAGAATATTACTCCTACTATTACAATAAAGCCAGTCAGTGATTTTGTAGGAATGTGGTTTCCTAAGACAGCAGGAGGGCAGGAAGTTTGAGACTCCCCAACCTGTCTGTTTTAGCCAAAATTAACATATGTTAAGATTAAGTTAGTATAAACCAAATTAGCGTTAGTAACATATGTAGACTAAGTTAGTTTAAGGCTAGTTTGATGTAAATACCCCTTGTTAAAGTTACAGGCCAAAGTTAGCTCATGCTAGGCAAAGTCAGCACATTTACCAAGTATTGAGGTTTTAGCCTAATTCTGTTCACCTGCGCTGCCTCCCACGCGTCAACCCACCCCCGCTGAGGCTGGACCCCTGCACGGGCCATCCTGCCGCCTGGTGGGTGAGGTGGCTAGATTCCACACGAATGACTGCAGTTTGAGTCCCAGGGCAGCAGCTTGACAAACCCACTGGGCATGGGTGCATGTGTGCTCAAAATCCCCAAAGAGGGAGAAGTGGAGCAGGGATTGCAGCCTGGCCAGCGCGTGGGGAGTGCTTTCTTATTCCCGTTCCTGTCTCCGGTGAGTGCACAGACCCTCCTGTGTAATTAACAAAAGAATAAAAACCGTCTGGATTGTCACTCTGCAGGGGCTTGTGTCTTTCTCATACCGGCTTTAAAATGGGAGCCAGTTCTGTATTTCGAAAGGGAATCTCTTTAGTTTCAGCTCACGAGTTCGGTGTTCAGTAGAGAGTCCGTGGTGTGGAAGGCCAGAGTCAGCTCTCCCTGCCCCTGGCTCCCAGGAGCTCCAGTGGTGGTCGGGCAGTGTGGCAGGTGCCAGGCCTGATGAAGCCGAGCAGGAGAGTGGGACCTGCTCTCCCCGTCGGTGGTATCACTGATTAAATTAAAATAAAGCCAAGTCAGGAGTTTGCAGGACCGTGTGTGTGGGTCTTCGAGAGGCTCATGGGAAAAACCTATGTATTCAAAATATTTTGAACCAAAATAAACTTGTACCGTCATTCTGTGTTTTCTGTGCACTTTTTTTTTGGAGAGGTTTTTGCTATAGGGCCCATGCGCTCACCAGACAGAAAGCGAGAAATCACCCTCAGGGGGGATGGCCACACTGCAATCCCTTCTCCTCCATTCTCCTCTTGGGATCTTGGGCACGCACGCACACATGCCCGGTGTGAGTTTAAACCACTGGGTCCGGGACTTGAAACGCAGTCGACTACATGGCAGTCCAGTGACATAGCCATTACGCTAACTGCTGGTCCCTTCTGTGCACTTTTCGAACCCCTCTCATAGCATGCCAGATTTTAATTTCTCTTTGTTGTAACTTATGTTTTGGGTCTTAAATTTGAGACCAAAGATAATCAATGAAAGAAGGTTAAATATCAGACATTCAATGCATTCCTCTTTATATATTTATGTGTGTGTGTGTATGTATGTGTGTGTGTGTGTATATATATGTGTGTGTGTATATATAATTATTATTATTATTTTTTTTTTAGAGATTTTTGCCGTAGAGTATATGTGCTCACCAGACAGACAGACAGAAACTAAGCAATCATCCCCAGGGGAATGGCCACGCTGCAATCCCTTCTCCTCCATTCTCCTCCTGGGATTTTGGGCATGCACACGCACATGCCTGGTGTGGGTGTCAAGCCACTGGGTCTGGGGCTGCACCCGCAGTGGATCACAGGGGAGTCCAGCGCCTTAACCACTACGCCCCCTGCTGGCCACTCATCTTTATATATTATTTGCTCTCTTGACTAAAAAGGAAAGACATGTGATTGCATTATTGATATTTTTGGTATTTGTATAAAGGTTTTTACTGATGTCGAAAAAATTAACTTTTTGGTTACCAATGTTCTTCTGTAGACACTTATATAATTATGTAGAGTTTAAGTAAAGAGTACTTATTTTTATATTGAGAATAACAGCTAAAAGCCAGTGTTTGGGTTGTCCTCCCAGTTGCAGCCTAAAACATTGCCAGGGTTATAGAGAGAATGTGAAAATTCCTTGTGGAGGTGGAGCTAATGAAAAGGTCTTACGTCCGTACTATTAAAATTGGAATTACGCTCTTTAACACACGTGGTAGTTGGCCTGGACAAATTTAGCCACACATGATTTCTCAGGTTTAGTGGAAGGCCGATGTTACGGCTCCTGGGAATCATGACTAGAAAGTGATTGGATTTGCGCGTTAAATATCATCTCTTCCAGTCATTGGCGGTAACCTTTGCGGGCTCGGTGGCTCTGCTAGGTCTGCTGTGATTTTGCAGCTGGTGTTCACTGCCTCCCAGGCCCACTGCGGCCTCCAGTGTGTGTCTGCGTGCGGGAAGCAGGAGCGCGGAAGGGCAGTGTCTCCCGCTGCCAGGTGCAGGCAGGGTGGGCCTCTGACGCTGGGTGTCGTCAGCACTCGGGCTGTGACACACACCAGGGCAGAGCCGCCTCACAGGCCTGCCCCTTCTTCCCAAGACATTGCAGAGACAGCCTGGAATGAAGCCGAGCTCTGGAGACACTCTCTCCTAGACCTTGCAGGCTTTTAGTTTTACTTTTTGCTAAACAGTGTGCGCCTCACAGGAAAATTGAGAGAGCACCCCTCGGGGATGGCCATGCCACAGTCCCTTCTCCTCCACTCTCCTCTCAGGGTTTCCAGCAATGTGTTTGTCAAGACACTGGGTCCAGGACGCCCACCACACAGTCGGCCACAAGGTTTTAAGCGCCATGCCACCTGCTGGTCCCGGGGTGAAGAAAAGCCTATGAATGGCTGATGTGGGTGTGAATCTGAGTGTGACCGTGTGTGTTCACGGTACCGTGCGGCTGTGTCTGTACGTGTATGCCTAGGAGGTGCCTACACCTTGTGGGAACGCTAGCTATAAATTCAGAAGGGAAAAGCCAGCTGCTTTTCATCATATGGAGCAACCAAAATTCTAAATTACACTAGTGGGGAAAGGCTGAGCTGAAATCCGACATTCTTCTTTTGTTCTTGCTGTTTTATTATCAGAGACCAATAATCTGAAAGAGAGATTCAGTAAAACTTTAAATGATTCTTTTTTTTTTTTTGAGAGGTTTTTACTGTAGGGCGTATGTGCCTCGCCAGAAAGACAGAGAGAGACAGAGACAGAAAGTGAGAAATCACGCCCCGGGGGGGATGGCCATGCCGCAATCCCTTCTCCTCCACTCTCCTCTCGGGATCTTGGGCACACACGCACATGCGCCCAGCATGGGGGATGCTTTGTCACTGGTTTTTCCCCTCTCTTGTCCTGCAAGTGCACGTACCCTCTGGCAAAATTAAAAGAGAAAAACAAAAACAAGTAGAAATATGATGTGAAAGGCTGGAGAGATTTAAGAATAAGCTGTTCAACACCTCACAGCTAGGGAAAGGCAGAGCATGGTTTAACCAGCTGTGACTGCGGCCCCTCTCCCGGGTCCAGGCTGTGCCTCTGACCGGGACCAGCCTGCTCCACCCTGCTCTGTGACAGCCACCGTGTTTCTGGACCTTGGTCTCACTCAGTTCTCCGTTGTCACTGAGGGAGAAACTGCGAGGGAAAGTTGGTGATGCCGTAAGATCTTCTGAAATGCCCCCGCGGCCTGCGTACTGGCTCATATTTTAGGGCAGATGTTTTTCTCTCTGCCGTGGAGTGCTCAGAGCCCCAGACTCGCCGACCGCAGGACGATGCTGCAAGTAGGTCTTGGTGTCAGACTCCAGACACGGACAGGAATGCAGCTCTGCTCTACGGGTGGTTTCCTGGTTTTCCAGAAATTTGTGTTTCCTTATGAACTACCTTGGAAAACAAAGGTAAATTCCAAGTGAAAGAAAACCTGTCCCTGTTTTCTGCCTCCGCTCCTGACCGTCGGACACAGTGTGCAGTGTGGAGGGCCTGGCCTCGCCGTGCCCACGGTAGCGTCTCCTGGTGTGGAGTTGTTTCCTGAGCACCGCGGCCACCTACCTGCCTTCCTTTCTTTTTTCGGGATTTTTGCCTTAAGGTACATGTGCTGGCTAGAGAGACAGTGAGAGGGAACGTGAGAAACCACCCCCGGGGGGGATGGCCACCCTTCCCCTCCATTCTCCTCCTGGATCTTGGGCAGCCACGCACAGCTGCCCAGTGTGATCTTCAGGCCACCGAGTCCAGGACTCGAACCGCAGTCAGCCATGTGGGAGTCCAGTGATGGAACCACTGCGCCATCTACTGGCCCCTATCCTTTATTTCTTCTCTCTTTTCTCTCTAAATGAATTTCTTGAAAGACAGACAGGGACCCTTGACAGGGTCTGGCTGTGTGGTGCCCACCCCTGCCTTACCACCATGAGGATCACAGTTGTGGCTCAGGCATGCCGGCTGCGTCCAGATCAACCCTGTGTCTGAACTGGGAGCTCTCACGGGGCCCTGTTGTCACACAGTGGGGACTTCCTGCTGGCGCCTCTGGGACTGGGCCTGGGGGGCTTTGTTTCTAATGAAGGTGGATCAGAGGGACTTTCTCAAAAGCATGGAAGAGGGGAGCTTCAGTTTGACAGTGTTGTCTGACCTCCGTGGGAAGACATTTTTCTACATCCCGTAAACGTGGGAGGACCAGGATTGGGGCCACGAGAGGCTTTCCCCTCCCACTGAAGTCCTCCTGGTGGTGAGCCCGCGGGCCTTTGTCCTGTACCTCAGTGAGGTTTCCTGAGTGAAGGGCGAGGTCATTCACTGGCTCGAGCCCAGCAGCTCTGGATACCTTCTTAGGTGACAGTGCACCGATGTGCAGCCAGTGACATCACAGGACTCCTGGGGAAGGTCCCCGAAGTCCCGCCCAGCCCCAGGCCAGGTGTGCCTTCTTGACTCCTCATGGCACCCTTGGCCACGTGGCCCTTGGGGGGTGCCAGGCCTGGCACAGGTGGAGTGCGCAGAGCCGGCAGCTGGTGGTGCCATGGCAGAGTTCATGCAAGTCACACCGAGGGGCCCTCGTGCCGCACACCTTGCACACCTTGCTGTGGGCGTGCATTGTGAGGCGTGTGCGGCCGCTGGTCCCTGCAGGTTATCCTGACGAAACTTGGATCATTTCCTTGTAGAGCTCAAAGACCAGCAGCCGCATGTACTTCCAGCCCATCATCAGGAGTCTACATCTCACTCCTCCTCCAGGGAGCCCTCCTTCCTTCTGTCTAATGCGCGTCCCTCCCAGTGTCTAATGCTGCCGTCCCCGGGGCCATCCAGCCGTGGCCATCGGAAAGCCCCCTGCTGCTGTGGTTGCCCGGGTCTCTGTTTTCCCTCTTCCCACACTTTGCGGATGTCCCGAATGAGCCTCTGTGGAACCTCGTGGCTGCGTGGCTGCATCTCTGCTAATCAAATGCTGCCTTCTCCAGTGGCAGGACCGCTCTGCAGATGAGCCGAGACCTCTCCGTTCAGCTCCCCCGGCCGGATCAGAGTGTGGCAAGAAGTCGAAGCAAGACGTACCCCAAGAGGGCAGCGCAGAGCCAGCCGGCCGGTGAGTGTGCAGGCCGCCTGGCCGTCGGCCTAGAGAATGCTCCGCGTGGCGCTGGCCTCCGGGCTTCCCCGTGGTCACAGACGTTCCGACTGACAGGGCATCCCGGCAATCGGGGGTTATCGGTAATGGATGATCGTCAGCTTGAGTCACTGTGACCTGCTCAGTGACTGAACTTCCTTTCTGAGGGGGTCATTTTAATTAAATCTCAGCTGAGTGATCTTCCTTTTCAACTGACATTGAATCGAGACATACTCTCAGGAACGTAAAAAGGGCACCGGGGACAGAAGTTGCTTTGTGCAGAACCAGTTCGCGTTTTTGTTATTTTTGGTCTTTCTTTTATTGCGAAATACAATATACACACAGGAAGTACACGAACTATACATATATGTACACGTGTGTTCATACATAGTCATATCTGTGTGTACACACTCACACATGCTCACACACACACACTTGACCGCAGCCAGCATCCCCCAGGGCCCTCATGGGCAGTCTCTCATCAGTCTCGTCTTGTTCCCGCAGTCAAAGGATCCTTCCTTCTGACTTTATTTAAATACGTGTACTGCTCGTGGAACCTTCCCTGAACAAATGCGTTTGTTTCGCTGGCTTTGCTGTTTGATGAGCAGGTTGTGGTGCGTATCCTTTCGCGTCTTGGCCCCTGCTGTGCACGCTGTGTGCGTGTGTGCTGAAGCGCTTTGACTTCCCTTGCTGTGAACACCCTCGCGTTTGACAGGTTTCCACTCTGCTGTCCCTGGCTGTCGGGTTCAGATGTTCGTTAATGCAGCTGTTTCGGTATCAGTGATTTCAATGCGTGCTCTGTGCCCAAAGTTCACCGAACGGCACTGCGAAGTGACGCTGGCTTTGGTGTGTGCTTGCTTATGCTAATGGGTCACTCTGGTGGGACACGCTCCAGAGCCCTTTCACAGATATTACCGACTGATCCTTTCGATAACCCTGAGACGGGGCAGGGCAGTTGGTTCCCGTGGCGCAGGTGAGAGACGTGAATCCCGCAGCCGCGGAGAAGTGGGCTGGAACGTGAGCCCCGGCCTTCTGGGTCTTTCTGCAGCACCGTGTGAAGTGAATGGCATTTTTGTAGTAGTAATTAGCACCTAGCATCGTGTGAATATTGACATGACATGGTGACATCTGCTGTTTCAGCTGAGCCCAGTGCCACGCCTACGAAGACAGTATGTGGTGACAGTTAGCGTAATGGCTATGTCGCTGGACTCCCATGTAGCCTACTACGGTTCAAGTCCCAGACCCAGGGACTTAAACTCATGTCAGGTGTGTGTGCGTGCGTGCCCAAGATCCCGAGAGGAGACTGGAGGAGAAGGGATTGCGGTGTGACCATCCCCCCTGGGGGATGATTTCTTGCTTTCTGTCTCTCTGCCTCTCTCTGTCTTTCTGGCGAGCGCATGCGCCCTATAGCAAAAAAAACTCAAAAAAAAAAAAAACAAAGACAGTATGTGAGGATGTTCCACTGCTCAGATAAACGGTGTGGGACTGCTCCCATCTTACCCCTTTTTCCCCATTTTATTGCTTCCCAAAAGATCTTGAGAAGTGTAAGTACTTTCGATAGCAAGCGCAGCTGATATGTACGTGTCTACGGACACGTCTGACTTCAGGCGTGAGCCTCAGTGATGACGTGAACATACTGTGAAGCAGCACCTCGCTGGGGCTAGATAGCTTACTGCAGTCATCGTTATTGCAATTTTTAATTTCAAGAAAAACAGTTTTAGTTTTAATAGCTCAAAATTTAAAAATCGTTAAGAGAAATTTTCTTAAGACTTAATTTAAATTTGCCAGGAAAAAAGTTAAGATTCCATTTGAACAGTAGGTAGATGAACCTATCGGTAGTTTAAGATAAAACAGAAGTCCTTAAATCTGGGAAACAAAGTATAGAGTAAAATTAGTAATGTTTTAGTCAAAAGTCCTAAGATTCTATTTTACTAGTTCCGTCTCACGTAATTAACCTCTCTCCTGTTGAATTTGCAGTGTTGCTGTGGTCCGATCTTTCTGAGTAAGTTCTGGTTGACATTCAGTGTTGTCATTGCTCTTCCAGACCTGTCCCTACCATCAGGCTGGCCATTCTCTTGGTTGTTTTTTGTGCTCTTATTTCTGTGTGTCCAATTTCATTTTTCCTGGTAGAGCACTCCCTTCAGAACTTCTCAAAGAGCTGGTTTGGTGTTGGTAAATTCTTTCAGGTTTTGTTTATCTGAGAATGCTTTTGTCTTTTCTTCCCATATGAAGGATAATTTTTTTTTTCCTTTTCTTTTTGGGGCGGAGAGAGGTTTTCGCTATAGGGTGTGTGCACTCGCCAGACAGACAGAGAGAGACATAGAGACAGAAAGCGAGAAATCACCCCCAGGGGGGATGGTCACGCCGCAATCCCTTCTCTTCTATTCTCCTCTCGGGATCTTGGGCACGCACGCACACGCACCTGGTGTAAGTTTTAAGCCACCAGGTCCGGGACGCGAACTGCGGTCGACTACGTGGGAGTCCAGCAACATAGCCATTACGCTAACTGCTGGTTCCCAAGTACAATATTCTTGATTGAAATTGTTTTCACTTAATACTTTGAATGTATTTTCCTGCTGGGGTCCAGCCTTGGCGTGGGTGGGTTATCTCGACGAAGCCGGCGAAGGTGAACAGAAGACAGAGGCCTCGATGCCTTTCATGCACGTCCTATGT